TAGAGGCTAGGCTCACAACCAAAAACATATTAAAACTTCCCTGTAAATTGTGATGAATTGTGTCACCCTCAAACACTTTGAAGCATTATGCGAAAGGAATGTCTTTAGTAAAAATTTTGAAGTACCCTTTTCAGAGCATTATGAACATCAGTGTTTCTCAGGCTGTAAATCACAGGATTAAGTGCTGGAGGTAACACAGTGTGCAGCATAGAAAAAAACCTGTCTATAATTGATGTTGTGTTTGAGGGTGGCTTCAGGTAGGCAAAGCAAGCTGTAGCAATGTAAACAGTGAAAACAATGAGATGGGGGAGACAGGTGGCAAATGCTTTGTACTGACCTTTAGTGGTAGGAATCTTCAGTACAGTGGAGAAAATGTAAAAGTAAGAGATCACAATACAAATAAAACAAAACATACCTAGAAACAGACCAATTCCAAGACTTGTGTAAATGACTGCGAATGATTTAGAGCACAAAATCCTTAGCAATGAGGGAACATCACAAAAAATCTGTGAGATTACATTAGAACCACAGAAAGGCATGGAAAATATGGCAGCTGTATACATGACTCCAAGAAGTAATGCAGTGCTCCAAGATGCACCCATCATCAGCATGCAGGTGACATTATTCATAATGGCATCATAGTGCAGGGGACTACAAACAGCAACATAGCGGTCATAGGACATGACAGTCAGGACAAATACTTCTCCTGATCCAAAAGAGGCCATAAAAAATACCTGACATGCACATCCAAGAGTAGAAATTGAATTGTTGTAAGTTAGACTATGGACAAAGAAATTTGGAATTGTGACAGATACTAGAAAGATGTCCAACAGGGACAAGTTCTTGAGGAAGAAGTACATGGGTGATTGGAGTTTTAGATCCAGGGTGATAAGAGTGATGGTGAGGAAGTTACTCATTAGTGTCAGCAGGTATGTTAACAGAAATGTCACTCCACATAGAGTCTCTAGTTCATGGATATCAGAGAACCCCATAAGGATGAATCCGGTTATTGCAGTGACATTGGACATAATATATTCTTTCACAGCCTGTGAGATGAGGAAAAATGAACAGAAATTGGCAAAGCCATAAATACTTACATTGATGTATAGATACACTAAGTGGAAAATTGTCAGTAAGTTGCCAAAATTGCTGCTACTTTTCCATAAAATTCTCATTTCTTCCTCCCTCACTCCCACATACTTGCCTTCTCCTTCCTATGTTTCTACATATGTCTCCTACATACATGTCTCTCTCCTCCTCTTTCTTCCTACTTCATTCTCTCATTTTCACTCCCCTTTTTATCTCTCTCCCATTCTATGATGGTTTTAGGAGTTTATATCTTATGCAGCTTTCCACAATTGATCTCTATAATATTAACTCATAGATTTTAAAAGGAAGACTAATTAGCTTGAACACTGTGAGATATAAATTAGTCTTCTTTTACTGTTCAGGGGAAGTTTTTAAGGTTAGAAAAACATTCATGGTTTTCCATGGTTTGAATTTTATTTGAAGTGTAAAGAATATTTTAAAAATACAGAAAATAAAGTTGAGAAAAGACAAAAATGATACCAAAAAGTTCCATTTAATCTTGTAGCCTCAACTTTGCCTTTGTTTTACATGCCTATGAGAGTGGCAACAAAGAATTTGGACCAATTTTTGACCTTTTGTGTAAATTATTTACTTAACTGGTTTCATTAAGAAAACTATAATAGTGACTAAATG